CCACATTCTAACATACTATATATATATATATATATACACACACACACACACACACATACATATACATGTATATGTATATGTATATATACACACACCATATTTATTATGTTTATTGTGTCTTCTCTAGAACAGAAGCTTCATTAGGGTAGGAACGTTTATGTTTTGCTCATTACTATTTTCTCAGCCCATAGAACAATGCCAAGCACATGGTGTGTGCTCAGCAAATACTTGCTGAATTGTCTTAAATGACTTACTAAGAAGAAAAACTGATAACCCCTGGTCAATGAAACACACTATGTTTACCCTATGGCTTTGAGTACTCTTATGGTTCTGATCCACTTTGGGAAGCACTCATTCACCTACTTCAGAAGACTGGGAATGGAAAGCTATTAAGAGGGGAATGATGTGCTGAGTTCTTCATTTCAGTCAGTCCACTCTAGCTCCGGGGGATGGATCCGGGGAGGACAGGCTGGAATGATAAGCCCATTCAAATGTTCGGGCAAGAAATGATGAGAGCTTGAGAAATATTTAGGAGACAGAGGGAAAGATTCAATCTTTGGTTGGATGTTGGGGGATGGTGGGACTATGACTGACCCTCAGGTTTTTGGGTTGGGTGACTGAACAGATAACGTTGGCAGTAATGGAGACAGATCATACCAGAAGAATCTCATTTGGAAGTGGACCTGAGGAGATTGTCTTAACATTCCACTTAGTTTAACATTCACTTTAGCAGTCTTTTGACAAATAACTAACGTCATTATGGCAAAATGCTCACCCAGGACTACAGAAGAAATAGCAAGAATACAAACAAAAAGAGTCCTACAAGATCATTGCTGTGTTCCCATTTATTAGTGGTACTTAGTTGGCCTTGGAGCAGGCAGCTTCCCTTCTACGGAAAAAGGCAGGAATATCTTCTCATGGGTCAAAATTTCACATAAGTTAAAAATCAATTGTCCACTAGAAGAGATATACCTATCAAGATTCCTACTGACTTCATTGACAATGAATTCCATTTCTTTGAGAAATAACTTCAGAATGAGGCATTTTTAAAAAGGCCCCATCCTAAAGATCCCAGAATAAAGTTTTACCAGCAGAATAGTTCAACAATCTCTTCCGTGATCCACAGTTTTACCCTCATACCTTACCTGGAAAGTTCTCTCGATTTAGCTTGGGTCTGCGGGCAATCACAAAGTCCTTGTCATTCCCTTTGCTCTTAAGCCGTTTGCGTGGGGGGCTCTGCGGGTGGCTCAGGTTTGAGAGCAGTTCCTGGGGTATGTTCTCACTGTCCACTTCCTCTTTCTCCAGAGTGGAGACCCCCATGCCCGACAGCAGTTCAGAAGTCTTGCTAGAATCCCATCCCCAAGTAAAGCTGGTGGTAACGTTGCTACTCTGGTCGGGAATCTCCTGGAGGTGTTTCCTGCAGAAATGCACAATAGCCCCAGTTCCTTTCAGAAACACACCCATAAATAATTGGTAGGCCCAAAGGAAACTGCAAGTTATGCAATGTAGAAAACGTTCACAGCAGCTAACAGAACTGCATATTTTATGTGTCGGCGGCAAGTTCCCAAGAATGAAAGATAAAATAACCAAACAAATGGAAAAAGCCTTTTGATTTACGATCATGCAGAAGGCCCGAAAAATTTCTTAAAGTGGAGAGAACAGACAAGGGGGGTAATCATACAGCAATTCAAAACAGTAGCAGAAAAGCTCAATAAGGAAAGTCAAATGAAACCACATTCTGATCACCGCACTAAAGCATCCATCCATTCACACTTTCCTAAAAAGGGGCTATGCCATTCGCATTAAAGTATTAGTAATATTAGCGAGAAGCAATATTCGTGGCCTAAATGAATTTAGACGGTCCATTCATGTCCTGCCCCTTTTTGTAATCGGTTTAACCTGTGCATGGCGTCCACAGGCTCTGGAGTTTTAAATGCGTGCATTAATTGCAGAGTTGCCCGCCTCCCGGATTCCCGCTTTGGCGCGCGGCGGTCCAAGGCTTGCGGCTCCGGCACCCAGCAGCGAGACCCGCCAACTCTAGCAACGTTCCATCCACGCCGCGCGCGCAGAGCTCTTCTGCTTGATCTCCGCAGCTGCCGTCTGCGGCCCCGCTGCCTGCTGGGAATTGTAGTTTCTGTCCTGCCCTGCAGTTCGGCTGGCTCGCCACTATTTCCTTTGCAGCTCCGCCAGCCTTCAAGATACCCATAACTCCCCGCGCCTCCGGGGCTAGACGGCCCACAGGGTAGGCGGGGAAGCGGAAGTGGGAGGTGCTCAGGCTGACTGGAACATGTCAGCCGCTTGATGGGGACCGGGTTTTCCTTTCTGGGGAACCCGCAGGCCTTCTGGTGACCACCACCACCGCCATAGCCTCAGAGCGTGGGTCCCAGACTCTGGACGGCTGTGGTGGACGAGGAGTTTCCCGGTCATTCCAGATGCTGTCTGGCGAGATCGGACGGTGAGCCTGAGGGGGTGAGCGCGAAGCACTTTGGGGTCTGGGGTCTCGGGCCGAGCGCAGGCAGAGATAGAGAGGACTCCTAGAACCCGGAGCGGCTGCCGCTGCGATCCCCACGTCCCCAGCAGCTGAGTAGAGGCGGTGGCCCCGCCCGCCGGCCAGGTGCGAGGCTGCGAGCCGCTGGCGTCACACCTGTTCTCTCCTGTGTCCAGAAGCTGCGGCCCTTATAGGACTGGGTGTGTGATGTGGAACCTTTTCTCATGTGTAATGTAGGCGCTACGACAACGACGCTCATCTCACAGGCCTGGAAGGAGGGTCAAATCAGATAATACGTGTGAAGGCGTTTTGTGAATTCTAGAGCAGTTTGAACGAGAGGCGGTGGCTTAATTTTAGGGGAGCAGGAAACCACAGGGGTTCCTTTGTGCAGTGGGAAAGCTACGCATCCCCTTCTAGCCTTGACAAGTCTTATAAATGCTAGCACCGGAACAAGTAAGATGACTCTGTGTTTGCAAAGGGCTTTACAGTGCAACGCTGGAGCCACCAGCAAAGCCATTCTGTTGCTTTCGTTCTACCGCCTGCGTCGCCTCTTCTAAAAGGGGGCTGCTTTTAGCCTATCTGAGTAGAGTTTGGAAGCGATTAGAGCTGAGAGTGTGCCATATTCCAGGTAGGATGACCATGCGAAATCCATTGTGCAAGCTATACTATGACCGTGACCCTGGGCAAACAATGGAAGAGAAGGGGAATAAATTCCAATCCTGTTGAAAATGGAGAAGATTTATAAGGTTCACAAGTATGCAGGCAGCGTCATCACAAAAACTACATCAGTATGGTCTATGACAAACCATATTTCTTTAAATGATTCACTGTATACTGGAATTAAACCTTCCTTGCCCACGTATGTGTTTGTTTCAGGCTTGGTGCTTAGCTTGAAAAGTAAATACCACCTCTTGACAGAGAAAGGTATTCATGAACCTTTAGTTTGTTCTTGAAAGTAGGTGAAATCGGTGTAAAAAAGGCATCTGGCCACAAATTGATTTGGATTGAAACTAGGCTAAGAATAACGAGGCTGAATATTCAGAATTCATTAAACTAATGTTATATGGAAAATGTTATTAAATGCAATATTTCGATTTTTTACAGAGACTTACCTTTATGTTACTTAGGCTAAAGGGAAATCAGTTGCCTTAGTTTGAAATCTACATCCTTTCTCTTAAAATTGCAAGTCATTAGAGAATTTATTTTTAACAGAAAAAGTTATAGTCTCCTTTAGGAAAGTGAACAGACGGAGCTTATAAGCTAATGTAGGAGAAAGAATAAACAAGAAAAAAACTATTTAAAATGCCATGACGAGAATAAACAAAGTTTTGACACATAAAGTAATTGGGAGAGGCCACTTTAAATATAGATCTTATAGATAGGAAAGTCTACTATATAGGATGATTCTAAATTTAAAGATGAGAAATATTCTCATGCTAGGATTCAGCTATTAGTTGCCTGAGAACTAGGGAACATATCTAGTTCTCAGAATACTTGAATTATCCGAATTGGTGGACATGAGGTCCTGTATAGGATTTTAGAGAGAACCTGTCAACTATGAAAATTGGTCTTAAGATTCTGGAATAGATATTTCACTAATAGTTTGTTTTGGTAACAGAAAAACCTTAGCTTGCTGAAATGTGAATACTTTTTTCTGCATTCCTTCTAATCATGGCTGTTCTCTTAATATAGTAAATAAAAGTTTAAATTGGTACATGTGATTCTGTTTAATATAAGGAATTGTGTCCATTGAAGACTTGAGATTACTAGCTATGTTAGAAATTGATGTCTGGTGTTTTCAAGAACTGCATTATGATTGCAACTGATGTAGATTGTTTCACTTTTCTGACTAATTGTATTCATTTAATCTTACTCAGCACACCTTATGTCCCATTTTAATGAGAGAGGTATACTCTATTTCTAGAAGTGGAATTACTGGATCAGTATCTAGGACAAATGAACTATAATTTTTTTTTAATATCTACAAATGACATTAGAGTGAGTAACTTCTTGTACTCTTTGGAAAATTCAAAATACGCAGTGACTTTGTAAACTGGGAAAGTGTTTATCATACAAAGGGAGAAGGACGTAGTTTACAAGATAGTTAATATTTTCAGGGCCCAGAAGGAGCCAAAAAGGACTGGAAATTACATTTGACCCTAAGCTTTATCTATATTCAGTGGTATATTAGTGTTCTTGAAAATCAAACATGACAAAAGAGATTCAATTTAAATAGAAAGATGACGTGCTTTTTCCTTCGCTCTATCATAGCATGGGGTAAATCTTGATACCTTTAGGTTTTTGTTTTTTTTTTTTAATAATGTTATTTAGCTCAGGGGAGCAACAGACTAAGAAAGGTCCTTCTCAATTTTGATTTTCTCTGTTTTCTTCTTTTCCATGTAGATTAGAGTGATACATTACCCTTAAGTAATGGCTGTCTTACCTACAATGTAAAAAGGCTTAGTTAAATTCTATATTAATCTTAACTTTCTTCACGTTCTACCTTGATATATCTAAGGGCATAATTAATAGGAGAATATTTGTAATTTGTTCATTATAAAACCTGAACCAAAAATGATTTAAACAGTTTAAATCGCATTAAGAAAGTATGTCTGGACTGTAGAAGAGACTGTGTAATATCCTAATTGTGAGCTAGGCTCTATAGTCAAGATGCCTGGGTTTGAATCTCAGCTCTAACCATTTGTGTGCCCTTTTCTCCGTTATTAAACAAGAATACTAATAGTTCTTTCTTACTAGGTTAGGAGGTTTAATTTGATTAAGCATGCTAGCACATGCTTGGAATCTAGTAAATTCACAGTTAGCTATTTCTTTTTTTTTTAAGTATATTTTTATTAGGAAGAATTCTAAGGATTGTTCCCTAATGACCAAAATAAATCTGACAATCTCTTCACCTGAAATCTTTAAGAATCCGTTAAAATTCTAGTTGTTCTCTTCTTACCTGCTTACATGGTTGCAACCTCTCCTTGCCAAAGGTGCAACTTTTTATGTGTCCATCTTTCTTCAGAAAGGCTTTTCACACTGTGGAATTCAGTTCACCTGGTTGGTTTGCCAGCTAAGCTCATTTTTGAATATGGCTTCAAAAAATGCTATGACTTTTTCTGCATTTTTAAAGGGGAAGTGAAATTTCTTGTGGTATTCTATCTGTATCCTAAGCTGAGTTCTCTCTTTGCCTGAAATCTTTAATCATGAGATATTGATAGTCTTTTTGGAACTATTAATTTTGATTGGGAGTAGAACATTGTTGCCTTTCATCATTCACATCTTGTTCTGATCCTTTTTCTTTAGTAAGATCTTGAGTTGTCTCCTACTTGTTACTATTTCACATAGCTGAGTAAGGATACACATTTTAAGTTAACACAATCGGATTCTGACGAATCATTAGATTCTTTCTGACGAATCATTAGATTCTACATGGAAATTTTTCATTCAGTTGCAGAATCTTAGGTTTTGATAAAATTTTTGGTTGTTCAATTGCTACCAGTCTTCTCTCTCTCCTTCCCCCCTCCCCCCCACCCTCCTTCCCCCTTTCTCTCCCTCTTTCCTTCCTTCCTTCCTTCCTTTCTTCCTTCCTTCCTTCCTTCCTTCCTCCTTCCTTCCTTCCTTCCTTCCTTCCTTCCTTCCTTCCTTCCTTCCTTCCTCCTTTCCTTTCTTCCCTCCTGTTCATCTATTCACTTATTTATTATGTTATTTGAAAGTTTATTGAGCATCAAAATTATGCCAGTCATGCTAAGCTCTAATGAAATAGAAATAAAAAAGACATGATCCATAGTCTCAAGCTGATTTTATTGAGTGGGAACAGAGGCAAGTAAGCAATTAATAAAGTGGAATAGTATCACAATAGAGAAAGATTCAGGAGATTATGGAGAGCGTTAAGCATGTTTTGACTGATAAAGTTTATGAGAAGATTACTATTTAGTCCAGTACTGCCATTAGGAATTAGTCCAGGTGTGGGAAAAGGCAGTCCAGACAGAAGAACAAGGGTGAAAGCTGTGAGGACATTGACAGATTGT